AAGAACCTATGATGTAGCTGATTTTGGGTCCAATCCAAATTAACTTCCAGTCTGCTCTGTGTAATCTAGCCATACTGGATGATAGCAAAATTTATAAGATTAACATTTGAAAAACTCAATAATCAGTGTCTTGAACAGTTACCACAACATGATCACCGGAAATTTTGCCAAAATCATGTGCCATAACCCACATGGCTATGGACTATGAGTTGCCAAGTGAGATTAGGCTGAATGGTTACTTGTCAGCTTGCATGATGGGCCACATGGCACATTACACTAAAAAAAATCTATGATCTCTGACACATCTTTTTCTTCTATTTCGTCAATCCCTATCAATATTTTCTGATCCCCTTCAGTTCTATATTATACATTTACCCCGCAAATGACAGTGGGGAAACAACTTGATTGCATGTTCCTGTCAGCGTGACTCTCCAGCCATCTGCTGGAAGATTGAAAGCAACTTTTGAAATAAATTATTCTACCTTCCCTCCATTAAAAGAGAAACCTACAGGTCTGTTTTCAGATTCCATCTCTCTATAAACCCATTCAGTACTGCACCAATCTGCCACAATACTAGGTTATCCAGTATGTTCTTAAAAGTACTTAAAGGTACAAATCAACAATACACACAACCTAAAAAGCCGATACAAGCACTTTTCCAGTTCAAGAATATTAGAAGCCACAATTGTTTATGAGAAGTACTCCCTTATAAAAATATGAAAACTTAACATGCAGTAGAATAGGCTATTCAAACCTGTTCCGCCATTAAATTGATCATGACTGATCTTCTACCTCAACTCCATCCTCCGAATTCTGTAATACCACACCTTCCAACTAAAAAAAATGGCCTTTCAGTATCCAAACCAAAAGACCAGATCTGTTTCTGCCACTGTTTTGACACATACACAAGATTTTTAAAAAATTAAAAATCATGATGTAAAAGTCCTCAGTCAATACAAATATAATTCTTAAATGATGGGACATGAAAAATAATCAAGTGATTAAATCACACATTTGTCCTAAGTTATATTACTTTCTTTATCCTTTTTTTAGTCCTATTATCCTGTATAAAATATCTGTCTTTTTGACACAATTATG